TCATTTTTGTGAATAGATATTTTAACTCCTGAACTCATACTCTTCTCCATCTATGCATACTCAGTTACTCTATCAATTATTTCACCAAGTGTTAAATATTTCTGATAACCATAAAATAAAATCTTTGATAAAAATAGTTAATCATGCTTTGCTGTGTCGATTTGTACACTCATAATAAAAAGATAGATGCTACTCAAACTTGGTATTTATTTCTAATTCTATTTTAACTAAAGTGTATTTGCTGCCTTCGATGAATCTGCTTATCAATAACAATGCTAACAATAATCAGTATAACAATTTCCTAGTTACTCAATTATAATAGAAATAGACATGCCGCATGAATTTTTAATTAACTGGAATTTTTGAATTCGGTGATTGTTGAAATCATTCACAAATATGTTTTCAGCTGTGTCGAAAGCCATGGTTTGTGGATAATCTAGATGACTTGATGTTATTCCACTGTTACCCGAACATCCAACCAAACATTTGAATCCATTTGGAATTGATCGGATGATTCGATGATTTTGATTTTCCACAATATATAGATAACCGTCGGCATCGAGCGCAATATCTATTGGCCTATTGAGTATGAAGTATACTATTGCTCCGAAACCAGCAATTGTTTTGGCATTTTTGTTACCAGATACGAAAAATTGAATTCTGTTATTACCAGTATCAGCTACATATAAATTGAGTTTATTATCGACGAAAATTCCATGCGGATGATCAAGCATATTTGGTACAGGACCAGAACATCCTATGCCTGCCACTACTATCGGTACGGTTTGTCCATTGTTGATCTGTATCTTAATCACATGATGGTTATTAGTCGATGAACAATATAAATGGTAACTGATGTCGACGAAAAGACCTGTACACCAACCATGGGCATTCATGGCAATCTCACTTTGCGTTGCATTAAATGTCCATTTATTGACGTAACCATTTTCATTACCATTGTCAGCATAAATGTCACCATCGATTGTGACAAAAAGGCTCCTTATGTTGGTCGAATTTGTCGAAATAGTTATTGTTGGAGTTGAACATCCATTTGTCCATACTAGAATCTAGCCACTTTCCTGATTAGCTACGTAAATGGCGTCTTGATCATTGACGAGAAGACCAGCGGGTTTTTGTCCAACGAAATTCTCTTCAGCAAATGTCATCACATCTTTATTCCATGGTGCACAAACACTGAGATTAGGTCGATTGTATGAGACAGCTTAAAAATCAAGCAGAACTTTGTTGATTATTATCATAGGTTCCTGTGATTTCTTTGTTTAATAAAAGTATCTAGATTATCAATGAAGTGGCTATAGCATGCTTCGCAGAATAGTCCTATAAGAATTCTTCGGAATGTTTTTCTCACTTATCACTTATGGTCATACACAACCGTATATTATTTAACAAAATCGGACAACAACAATCATTCTAGATGATTGTTTACAGAAGTATCATAATATTCTTAACCTCGGTATCAAGATTTACACATAATTAATACTAATAAAAATTGCATACTGAGTCTACTATTAATCATTAGTACTTAAATTTAAGTTCTTTCTCTCTATCTATAATTTACTAGAACTTAATTTAGCAAGTGTTGTGCGTGCTAGTGATACTATTCGAATTAATTTTTCTCGTCCGAGAATATATACTTTGCAAGAATAGTTTTATTATAAAAAGGTTGGTTGACAGCATACAATTTCATCTTGGGAAGTTTAACAGAATCAGTTTCCAAAACTCCTTGTCAATTTCTGTTTAAAAACTCGTTACTTGAAGTAAGCTATACAGCACTTAAAACTATTTAAGCTCAACACAGAGTTCATCCTCCTTCAAAATAGATTCGAGGTTAAGTAAATCCAGATTGTATTATATTTTCAGGATATGTTTTGACATATAACGGAGAGAATGAGCTAAAAGTTTTAGCCCCACACCACACAGTTTTCAGAAGATAAGTATCAGACAAGAACTGGAAACAACTCATTTGGTCTTTCAATAGTCTTTTTAGGAGTTTATTCTCTATGTTCAACTTCTTTTGATTGCAAGAGCATGTAAGCTCGAAAAAACTTCGTTTTTTGAAGGAAGTCCGTAAATGTCACAGCTAGTGCATCAAGTAATGCCTACCATCTATTGTTTGTGAACATTAATTTTTAGGTAAAGCTACTTAAGGTTTACCTTAATTCATAACATTAAACTAAAATCGAATCCGTTCGTATTACAGATAAGATAAGAAAAGTAATCTACTAGTTCATAATCTTTAGACTTCAATACTTTTAGAAGACATTCTGTGAAATCATTTTGGTGAGAAAAACCTGTTTTAGTTTTACACAAAACTTATTACATCCCGCAACCTTACTAAGGTTTTACTTATCTGAGCAATATCTTATAAGATCTATTAAAGTTCCATGGTATACCTCTTTTTTAGTGTATGTGCAGCCTTTCTTTTCATTCTCATATACCTTAATAGTTGAGATACTCGTGAACAGTTTGTGAAAATTTTTCACAGCGCAACGATTGATTACTCTGTAGATTTTTGTTACATTGTACACGTCTTATCTTAACGTCACAAACTCATCGCATGAAAACTTACATATGCGCTCACTCACATCTATACCTAAGATCGTATTCGAACACATGAGAATATTCCTAATTTTCATAAATTAAACTCTTATGTGAAATCAGTAATAATTCTACGTTGCGAAATCATGTCTTACAAAAAAAATTCGTCTTTATCTGAGGCGTTGCTAATGACCAAGAAAATCATCATGAACCAAATGAATATTTTCAACGATGTGAGTTGTGTCTGTAAATACCCTTTTGCTGCTTTATATATTATCAGTATAGCATACGAGTTAAATCAATAAAACTTGTCACTTGTAATGCTATATCATACATTTTCAATACTGAGTTTTACAGTAATCCGATCTTTAAAATAGATTTTATCACGTCGTTTACAGTTATTGAAGTCAGAGAAAAATAACTTTCAAAAAAAGATAGAAGTCAGGTGTTTGTTCTCTATACTGCCGGCATAGAAATGATTATATACTGTCTTCCAGGATTTTCCAATAGATCTATTCTATTCCACGTATGATAAAAAATGTTCAAGGAATTCTCTTGCGTAGTTACTGATCAAAGTCTTTCCTGCTGAAAGAAGTAATGGGTAGTGCTCAGCAGAATGCATATTGTTGTGAAGAACATAATAGTGCTCACTCAGTTGGCATAGTACTAAATAGTACCTCATAGCAGTTAGAAGCTGGTTTTGATGTTTATAAGAAGTAGTGTAGTCGTTTGGAATAATTATTGCTTGTATGAAATGAGTGCCGAGATAAAAAGGAAGTACTGAATAGGGCTACCGAATTTTAGAAATTTCGCTCCATAGAATCTTCAGTCGAAACTTTCATCTCTTAACTGAATCAATTTCATTGAGCCCTAAAATGTGAGGACCAACTTTTTTAATTTATGTGCCAGATATCGTCATGCTGTGCATAGAATGTTGTAATAGGTGAGTGTGTCTATTAAGAGAAGACTCAACTTCATATGCTAAACTCTCATCCAAATCATACCCACACCCTTACACTTTGGAAGCTATCTCATCCTCTATTTCTACCTCTAGAAAAAATTATTAATATAATTGTTTTTCTTTCATATTTATAGTTAAATCATGTCAGATACTATTTAAATTTGTAAATTATCATAGCATCTGTTATTCGTGACTTTGATGTTATGCGCATTAATTATAATAAGCACATATATCTCATTGTGATGACTATCTATGTGTAATCTTCTTTTATTTCAATGCCAATTTCAAATTTCCTATAGAGTAGATAGATATGATAGTTTAATTTTTTTTACCATTGTTCATTTCAATAATGATCAAGTCTAAGAACTCTCAGATAGCTTCATAAGGGTGGGTGTGGGTATCTACTCTTCACACACCCACACCCATCTTCGACGGCAAAATCATAAAGAAAAGCTTCTGAGACGGTTGCATAAATGTCTTTTTCTTAGAAGGTTGCAAGAAAACACATAGTTCGTAGGAGATTGCAAAAAATAACTCTCGTTTGAGGAGAAATGAACTAAACTTTGCACAATTTATTAACTTTTTCCTAAACTTCGCCTTTTTGCATAAAACTTGGTTGAAAGTAACAACAGTTCCATTAATTTTTATATCACTAGACAATACGACACTAGCTCTAATGTGAAAATATTTGATCCTTTCTCTCAATCTTAACCATCTGGAATCGCCACTCATGTAACAAGATCTATACCAGTTAATTTGAATAGTTAGCGTTTATTTTAATTCAGCATTCTCGCTTTGTTCACCAAAGTCTATTTATGCTGAAAACTGCTTTATTATAGACACTTTCTTTGTGAAAGATGAACATTTTTGATTATTTCTCACAGGAATACAGTTTAATATAAACTCTTTTTGCAGACGCTACATTTTTCTCCGCAGTTTCTCTTGTAGAACAGCCTTGAATTTTGAAAATAACTAATGTACTCCATGGATGTATCCCATCTAGAAAAAAATTGTAACTCAAGTGTACCCCACTCGGGATCTTTTGTATCCCATTTGGGATCTTGCGAGTTGACAAGCCAAGTTAATAGACATACATTGAACTTCCTTGATTAGATCTTCGTCTATAATAGTAGAAAAACAGTATTCTTTTGAGAGAATCTATTTGTATGATATTAGTCAATATGAAGATTAACATATTATTTAAATCGATTTCATTGACCGTTTACATTCGATTAAGTAAAAACGAACATATATGTTCTTAATGTTCTATTCTTTAATTAAATGTAAATGTTTATTGAAATATGCTATTTAATTAAATAATGATAATATTTCCAATAGATTTATTTATTATGATAAGCTATATTATTTTGTTTCTCCTTAGTATACTTATCAAAATATTTTATATCGATATGAGAAAAATTTTTTTTTTTCTTTTTCTTTTTTCGAGAAAAAAAAACAAGTCAAAAATTTTTCTATTCTATTAAAACAAAAGAAGAAAAAAATTGAAATAAGATTGATATGCAATAAAGACACAATGATAAGTAACAATTTGTAATGATGATGTTGAAAATGATTCTTTTTTTATTATCATTCTTATTAAATATTGTTGATAATAAATTTTCTTCTTTATGACGAATTTTTTTCGATTATGTCGAGGAATTGTATTTGAACGATGATGACTAATAAATTTTCTTTCTTTATTATTAATATCATTTACTTTTTCATTAATTAATGATAAATTTTCTTCATTTTTATTTGAAATAATTGTTTCAACTAACTTCGAATTAAGTTTTTGAGATGTTGAACTTAATAATGAAGAATTATTTACTGTTTCAATTGATTTACCTTAAACAGTAAGATTTTAAATGATAAAACAAATTTATTTTAAGAAAAAAATTCTATTGTAAAATAATTAATTATATGAAAATACTATCGAAAATAATAACGAAATTCTTAATATGAGAAAATGAATCGATGTGAAGCTAGCACGAACACCAATCAAAATCAATGTCCCACCGATCAATCAATATCCGCACATATTCTCCCCACTTACAATCCATGATATACCAACTCAACTTTCCTTAGCAACCGGATAGAAAAAACGATGAAAACCATAAAACTCATATACCCGTCTGAAACACTCACAAAAAATCAAAAAAAACCTTATCCACATCTATGATGGTCGATTCTAACATGTAAATCCACCCATATGAACTCATTTTCCATTGCAAAATGAGGGGGAATATACCATTTGATAGACAATTGAATTTTCTAAAAAATGGTATATCATCATACGGAGGAACGATTTTTCGAGGGGCTTCAAAACCAAAAAAAAGATCTCTGACACTCTTTTCATCGGTGTTGTTTATATTCAGATCCTCTCCTGTGCACGGAGCTTCCATTGCAAAAAGAGACTCAATACATCACTCGATAGAGAATTAAATTCCCGACAAGAAGATGCATTCACTATCCAGAGAATCGATTTTGAATGCGGACTCGAGTCCAAAAAAAGATCCGACCCACATGAGAGCAAGCGTCGGTTCAAATATTGTGACCTTTTTTGGCCGACTCAATTTCCCTTGCCGGGAGAGACTGAATATATCACTTGATAGAAAACTAAACTCCCTACAAGAAGATGAATGCATTATAGAGAGAATCGGTTTTGAATGGGCCCTGAGTCAAAAAAAAAGATCCGACTGACATGAGTCATATTACAAATGTGAGTTGTATCTTTTCTTCTGACCAAAGGCCTTATTCAAAATCGATTCTCTCTATAATGAACACATCATCTTCTAGAGAATTTAATTCTCTATCGAATGATCCATTCGTTCTCTCCGGGCAATGGAAATTCAGTCGGCCAAAGTGGGGCAAAATATGTGAATGGACGCTATGTCTCATGTCATTCGGATCTTTTTTTTCCACTCAACGCCTGGCTCAAAATAGATTCTCTCTATGCTGAAGACATCATCTTGTAGAGAATTTAATTCTCTATCTAATGATGTATTCGTTATCTCCCAGCAATGGAAATTGAGTCCACCATATTCGATCACAATATGTGAAGTGACCCTATGACTGATGTCAGTCGGATATTTTTTTTTCGACTCAAGGTCCTGTTCGAAATCGATTCTCTCTATGCTGACGACATCATCTTGTAGAGAATTTAATTTTCTATCCAATGATTTATTCATTCTCTCCCGGCAATGGAAATAGAGTCCACCATAATATGTCAAAATATGTCAACTTACCTCCAAGACTCATGTGAGTCGGATCTTTTTTGCGATCCATGGCCCTGTTCAAAAACCGATTCTCTCTATTGTGAAGACATCATCTTGTAGACAATTCAATTCTCTATCGAATGATGTATTCCTTCCCTTCTGACAATGGAAAAGGAGTCCACAATATTCGATCATAATTTGTGAAGTGACCCTATCACTCATGCGAGTCGGAACTTTTTTTCGGCTCAAGACCCTGTTCCAAATCGATTCTCTCTATGCTGAAGACATCATCTTGTAAAGAATTCAATTCTCTGTCGAATGATGTATTCGTTATCTCCCAGCAATGGAAATTGAGTCCAGCATATTCGATAACAATATGTGAAGCGACCCTATGACTCATGAGAGTGGCATTTTTTTTTCGACCCATGGTCCTGTTCAAAATCGATTCTCTCTATGGTGAAGACATCATCTTGTACAGAATTGAATTCTCTGTCGAAGGATGCATTCGTCCTCTCCCGGTAATGGAAATCCGGTCCACCATATTCGATCACAATATGTGAAGTGACCCCATGACTCATGTGAGTCGGAGCTTTTTTTTCCGACGCATGCCCCTGTTGAAAATCGATGCTCTCTATTGTGAAGACATCATCTTGTAGAGAATTCAATTCTCTATCTAATGATATATTCATCCCCCTTTCGCATTAGAAACTCAGGTTAGATGAGACGATGTTAATATCGAACCCTTGGTCTCACTCTCGTACGGCGGATCATTTTTCGTTTTCTGAACCTCCTGCCAAATCGATTCTCTCTATGATGAATGTACCATCCTGTAGAGAATTAAATTCTCTATGGAATGGTATGTTCATCCTCTTTTTGCAATGGATATGAACTAGACAAGAGCGTATCTGAATATCGGAAGCCATTGCATCAGAGTGGGGTCGGATGTTTTTTTCCTTTTTGACCCCCCATTAAAAATCGATTCTCTCTATGATGAATATAGCATATTGTTGAGAATTAAATTCTCTATGGAATGGTATATTCATCCTTTTTCTGCAATTGATATTAACAAGATTAGGGCCTATCTTAATATCGGACACCATTGCGTCAGAGTAGGGTGGAATGTTTTTTTTCTCTTTTCACGCCCCGTTAAAAATGGATTCTCTCTATGATGAATATACCATATTGTAGAGAATTAAATTCTCTATGGAATGGTATATTCATCCTCTTTTTGCAATGGATATTAACTAAACTAGAGCCCATCTCAATATCGCAAATAATTGGATCAGAGTGGGGTGGGATATTTTTTTCCTTTTTGACCCCCCGTTAAAAATCGATTCTCTCTATGATGAATATACGAACTTCTAGAGAATTAAATTCTCTGTGGAATGGTATATTCATCCTTTTTCTGCAATGGATATTAACAAGATTAGGGCGTATCGTAATATCGGAAACCATTGGATCAGAGGGGGGTCGGGTGTTTTTTCCTTTTTGACCCACCGTTAAAAATCGATTCTGTGTATGATGAATATACCATCTTGCAGAGAATTAAATCCTCTATGGAATGGTATATTCATCCTCTTTTTGCAATGGGCATTAATTAGACTAGAGCCTGTCTGAATGTCGGAAGCCATTGCATCAGAGTGGGGTCGGATCTTTTTTTCCTTTTTGACCCCCCCATTAAAAATGGATTCTCTCTATGATGAATATAGCATATTGTAGAGAATTAAATTCTCTATGGAATGGTATATTCATCCTTTTTCTGCAATGGATATTAACAAGATTAGAGCCTATCTGAATATCGGAAACCATTGCATCAGAGTGGGGTCGGATCTTTTTTTCCTTTTTGACCCCCCGTTAAAAATCGATTCTCTCTATGATGAATATACCATCTTGTAGAGAATTAAATTCTCTATCGAATGGCATGTTTATCCTCTTTTTGCAATGGATATTAACTAGACTAGAGCCCATCTCAATATCGCAAATCATTGCATCAGAATGGGGTAGGATGTTTTTTTCGTTTTTGACCCCCCGTTAAAAATCGATTCTCGCTATGATGAATATACCATCTGGTAGAGAATTAAATTCTCTACAAGATGATATGTAGCACATGTCCGGACAATGGATCTTCTGGTGCACAAATGGATTTTTTGTCTAGATGGTGTGCGTTTTTTTCGGCGTGCTTGCTTCACACTGATTTTTGTTGGTAAGACCGCGATGGCCAAATTGTTGTCCTCCACTGCGATGTTTTTTGTTATTGAATTTTATGATTGGTGATTCATTGGAGCAATAGAGTTTTTTTCCTCGTCGTGGTAATTCGTCGTGTTGTGCTAGCTTCACATCGATAGTCAAATAGATTAATCTTTTCTCATCTATGTTTATTTTCCATACCAACTATTGACTATCTCTATTCAAGTATTAACTTGTTATTATGATATATATAGGACAAACCTTTTTCTAAACATTCCGTTATTGAACTTATTGAATGAAATGTAAAATTGGGTTTTGTTGATGGAAAATAATTCATATTATTATCATGGAGAAACTAAAACCAAGAAAACACAAAACAAGTTTAATTAAATATAAATATATTTATATATATATTCATCAAGTTCTTTATCATCAATTAATGGTTATTCAAGATAATCTCTATCATATGCATCAACTTCTAATTGTTGTTCAATTTCCTCATCTATTTCCGTATCATCGGACATCATTCGATTTGATTTCTAAATTAAAATAAATATTTAAAATTTGTTAATATTTATTTTATTTAATGAAATTACATCAAGTTTTTTCATTAAAACAGCAACCCATCCACACCCTATCATTAAATGATTATTTTTCCACCATGTGGAGAATCATCTTGACCGAATGCATCCTTTTTATATTAACAAATCATACAAAAAAAATAATAATTAAAAAGAAGAAAAAGTCTAACTTTTATTTTTCCATTCCAATTATCACCAGTTGCAATACGAAATAATGTTAAAAAAGACATACCAAAATCTTTAAAATGTGCATGTTTATCAAGTCCAGCACATGGACGTTGTTCACTACATTCTAATTTTCCAAATAATTCGATATCAAGTGCGGCAAACATGAAGAAAAAATAAAAGATCTCCAATTAATTCAAATTTTCATTTAGATATTTGTTTTTTTTTCAAAAATTCATAACAAAGAATTTTCCGTAATGTTTAAATAAGTTTTAATGATAAATATCTTCAATTATTTTATTGTAACTATTCAAGATTCTTCTCTCAACTCAACTCTTTATTTTCGATATTTGACATAAAAATTTCAATAATTCATCAAATTTTTTCCTAACTATTTACTTCACATGTATAGGGTGTGGGTGTGGGTGTGGGTGTGAATGACAATAGAATGATATCACACTGACACCCACCCACACACCCTCAATTATCAGCATATTACGCGTGTCTCGGGCGGTCAATAAAATGGTACCGAAAGATGGCATTCGAATTGATTTTTGGGACGGCAATAGTTAATAGCTATTTGATTTACAAGGAATACTATGCCGCAAATGGAGCGACCATTCTGGATTTTCGCGAAAGTCTTGTGCGATCTTTACTTCTTGGTACGCCATTTGAGAATCTGAAATCTGGTCTGAGACAAGAATCCAGAAGTCATCCAAAGCGCAAACTAACTGATCACAAGCTTGAAGAAAAGGAAGCGTCTGCTCGCGACGTCCGAAGACGTTGTGCTGGCTGCCATGACAAAATCAGACAACAACAATCAAGAGAAGCAAGTAATACAACAGCAAAAAAAACAAAAACGTTCTGTTCTGATTGTGAGAAATTTTTTTGCCTTGATTGCTTTAATGAAAAGCACCACGCTATGCAATAAATAATTCAAACAGTAGCGTGGCAGAGTAGATGACGCATTTAGTGTACCCTTCTAGTCAAGAATAAAAGAAAAGAAAATGTTTTTTTTTATTAAGTATTTTCTTAAAATAGGACGAGTCCTACCGGTAAGACCCATCGTGCCAAATGTATTAAACCTGCAAGTGCTATTATCAAGAACTAACTAGAAACTATTAAAGAAAAAGCAACTGATTTGTCGTAGTACCAGTGTATTAGTTAGGAATACTCAGCATTTTTATACTTTTAAAAATTCATAGTTCAGTGTATTAGAATTGTTCTATCTGAATTTCACTATTAAATTCATTCGTAGAAATATCATCCTTATTCTTAAGAAAAATGGTCAACTATTTGTTCATTCAATTATAAAAAATGTAGTAAAAATAGTCGTAACAGACTGAATTTACTAAAAAGAAATACTATTCGTCATGCACTTATTGGATAATTTTAGATTGCTAAAATAATCTCGTTGTTCTACTGCGGGATTACGTTTCAATAGTTAGTTTTTGCTGATCAATATTGAGATCATCATTTGAATGTTAAGCGTTATATTATTCCACATTTGTAGTAGATCTCGTACCCTCTTCTCCTATTGTGGAGATATATGAATCTTCTTCGAAAATATCAGAGTATCATACGCTATTTTGGAACGTTTTCCAAGCCAACAATTAGTTATTCAAGGTCAACAAGAATTTGAATTAAACGCAAATTGATGGATCTTTATTTTCAAATAAAAATTTTAAAAAATAATTATTTTCTTATACTGTTGAGATCAGTGTTCTATGGACATAAGTATGTATTCATCGACACTACTCTATTACTTTAAATGTTTTGATTTGCTCTTCGCCGAGTGCCTTGAAAACAGTAACTTTTATCCGACCTTTGCCTTCGTTGTATTTGTCGAGGATTCGAGCGGTGATGTCCCAATCTTCTTTTAATTTTAAATCATTACGTGTTTTACCTGTATTATCATCACGTAATGTTATAGAATCACATCCTTTGAGGTCAACAATGGTATATTCTTTTTTCTCAATAACTGGCACTTGAATCATATGTCCAACTGGACGAACATCTTCATACCGACGACTTGTAAAGATGTCAATACCAACTAAATGAACCTGAAGAAGATCAAATTAAAGGTAAAAAAAGAGAAACAAATTGTTAATTAACCTTTGCATGACCATGTTTTCCTGGCTTTGAATGTGATACTTCAACTACTTTGACGGGACGTCCCTTGAGCACGACATGATCTGACTTGTGAATTGCACCGATACATTCTGGAGTTGAATCCATATCGGAATCAGACGCACTATCGGACGAAGCGATCGGTTCGGCGTAATTGAAATCAAGCGAAGTCATCGTCAAAAACTGAACTTCTACACATAAAGTAGTGCTTTATATACATACAGAGAAAAAGCATACTCAAAGAATTGAGTAATTTCAAGTCTTTGCATAATTACAAACAAAAAAATGACGCAACTTTTTTGTTTCTTATGAAGCTGAATTGACTCATTTCTATTAGATATTTCGAAAGTACATGAATAATATGAGTTTTTCATGAAAACTTCTTTAGTGTTGACATAAAATCTTATCAATGTAATCTATTGAATATATCAACATCAAACGCACGTAATGTGCAACTGAAATGATATTTCACGATAAACTAGTACACTCTACGATTCTTTCAAACTCATGTCATTATTGATCTATTGTTAAGTATTTCAAATACACAACAATTCACTATAAATTATTTATTATGACAATATTCTATCACAGACGAGTATATGAATTTTTGAAACAAGAATTCAATCAATTTTGACCTTAGTGATAAGATGTATTACAAAAAAAAAGAGGAGAACTTATGATATCTACATATCAAATCAATCTTAGCATTCTCATAGTTTTTTTTTATGAGTAGATTAATTCAAACAAAGATATAAATAATTATTCGTATATGAAAATAAACCATAGATACATCTCGAAGAAACTGGACAAGACTTCTCCAAATAATGATATCAAAAATGAGAAAAAATTAATTTACTATTATATCACATCGCATTATATATCGACAATGATCATATTAAAATTATTGTAAATGAAAATGTTTAAAGATCAAGTTTCGGTGTATGTTTCTGTCCATCTCAGTACAAATTTCGTTTATTATAAAAAAAAAAAACAAAAAGAAATCATGATATTTACACGTGTATGTGATAAAGAAAAAAATTTCTTAATACATTCTTAAAATCATGCGAAGTATCTGTACAAATAGACTGCCGTCGCAAATTCCGTTTGCTGTTCTGATTCTATCTCAAGTTACTTCTATAAATCTCATATCCATATCTAAGAAGTAATTCAACCATTTCAACAATTATATGACATTTGTTGTAATATAATAAACCGAAATGTTCTTTTATATGACTTTATGATTTGTTTCGTTTAACTTTCATCATATTATTTCACTTTTGTATTTGATCATTGAGAGAGAGAACAATGTTGAAAAAACATTTTTGAGGGTGAGAATAGCTACCATGAACATTTTCGATCCAAGGCCTATCAAAAGCACAAGTCAAACGAATAAAAAGATGATTACAAATTGAATAACACACTAAGTAATATTAATTATACATAAAAGAAACATTCTAACTAAAGAAAACGTCTAATAGTTTTTGTACACTATAATTGCCTTCGATTAAAAATTCCTTGTTCGTCCATCACCACATGTGCAACTTGTCAATTCGTTCATGTACTATAATGACAACAAATGTGACTAAATTACAGGGATCTATGACAAATGAAGAAAACAAACCATCAGGAATTTCTACATACTGGGCTATTATTTGTTCAGAAAGACGGGGAAGAAATTTTTTAAAAAGTTCCTGCATGAAAATAGACAATGTCTTGTATTCTTAAAAACTCTATTTTCCTACCACATTGGCAAATCTATTAAGGTATTTTCTAAAGGCGTAGCGACAGAGATTAATTATATTTTCCGGTGGAAATGGTCGAAAAGGTAGTTCGTATTTCATAGGATTTGATGGGCGATATCTAACAAGCGATATGTCTTTAATTTTTTTCGCTGCTCGAAGGGCTGCATACGTTTCTTCTTCTTTTCGAAAAAAAAAGTAGAATATTGATTTGCCATTCTTCGAAGGAACGCGACGAAATTTATAATATTTTAATTGTTGATGAAACCAACCGGACATATCATAGTTGGTTATTTCAGTATCAGTTCGATTGTTTAAAACTAATCTGCATTCCATATTACAAGCTACTGAAATCAAAGACGAATGTAATAATAAATTTAAAATTAGCTCAAGAACTGAAATTAATTAGTTGGACAATAGATCAAATATCCTGAGTAAAGTTTTAGAAAAATATATAATTGAAAGACAAACGACAAATAATCATTAAATAAAGTATTGGTAAAGAAAAGTCTAATAAAAACGAACAAGACAGTTGTTGTGTACTCAACTATTGAACGCTATTGATCTGTAATAGAACTTTACAATTCATACAAGATCACTAAGAGCAGGGTTGCCAGATCAAAAATTTAAAAATCAGAAATTTCGACTATCAAAATCAGAAAATATTCAGAATTTTTTTCCAAAATCAGAAAAAAATCAGAAAGGCTAATATGTTGAAATTGGTACTTATTGTTTTACCAAACTATTACAAAATGCTTTAGTTGTAATTTGTTCATCTATTCTTCATTTTTTTTCGAAGATATTTAACATAAAAAAAACAATAATAATAAAAATATGTAGTTCACCGAATATCACACAAACTAGCAAAAACATCTAGTATCAGACTTTTTACTAAACTCAAAATTTTTTTCACATAAAATGAGCAAAAACAAATCGAGAAATACACTATATACATCAAGAGATATTTAAAAAAAAGACTCATTCAATATGAGTTCCATACTATTGATATTTTTCACTTTTTCGAATTTGCTGCAATAAATGTTTATCAGTTAAAATATGTTTGTAGAACTGTTCACAAGAATAATTAGCATTCATTCTTATCTTACGTTCAGCACTAACTAGTTTTATGTCCATGCGATTACGATAATCAGACCATACATGTTTCATATGGCTAAAGATCGATTCAACATATGAATTTGAACATGGTATAGAGAATACATAACAAATCAGTTTGTATAAATTTGGTGCTGAATTTGGATTATAATTTAAGAGAAATGACCATAATTGATCGGATCGAA